ATATGCTGAGTGGATTTTTAAATTCTGGTTTAATTAGAGTTATGGGCCCGACTAACAACTGTGGACGACCGGACTGCCACTTTCCGGTGGATGATGGGATGCAGTGTGACAACTGCAGCCTATGGTTCCACAAAGTTTGCACTGATTTATCACCAGTAGCCTATAAGAGATGTTGCAAGCCATCATCTCCGTGGCTGTGCAAATTTTATAGTAACCCGTTGGATGTCCTCATCCAAGAGGCAGTAGGACTCCTGATGTCCAAGAAATTGACGAAAAACATAATCGAAAAGCCTGCACCAGAAATCTTAGCCAAGAATGGCGGTTCAGGATATAGTTTTAAAACTGAGGGTGTATCGCCACCTGAGGTAAAAGAGGCACAGAGTGCCCAAATATCTGTTGAGGCAAAGCGCAGAAGACAGAGGAAATCTAAAAGGGCAAATAGTGCCAGCATGGCAACACCAGCCTGTGAAATGGCCACGTCAAAGCGCAGCGCAGCGTGTCTAGTGCACGAATGGCTTCTAGTCGCGGCGGAAACAGAGTGGAAGAAACCGACTCCACTTGGTTGGTACCGACAGGTAAGAAGCAAAATAAACGTAGGAAAGAAACAGTTACCGAGTTCACCAACAAGGACTCGACGGCTGTTAATACCAGCCAAACTCAGAAACCCACGGACTCTAGTTACAGTGTTATCATCTGGAATTTAGAGGAATCTAAGAGCGCAGATCCAGCTGCCCGACATGCAGATGATCTGAAGGCTGTTAGCTCCATTATCCGGGAAATACTTCCCGAAAAACAATTGGAGTTCACATAAGAAAGGCCATCAGGATCGGAAAACGAAACCCTGATGCTACGGAAAGTTCTCGACGACTACTTAAGATAGTTTTAGGGAACGAAACAGAGAGGAGCACCATCCTCAACAACGCGTTTAAAATCAACGATAAAAGTTTAAAAATAAGGCCTCATAGGTCTTTAGAAGATAGAATCAAAAGAAGAGAAGCCGTGGCTGAACTAAAGGCCAGGCTAGAGAAAGGCGAAAAAGACCTCAAGCTATTGGGTTTTCGGGTGGTGAGGTCTCGGAAACCGATGCTTCCGAGACCTGTATTCATAAGCCGGATGAACATGTAGGTGTTTCGGTGTGCTATACGAACGCATGTAGTCCTAGGAATAAGCTCGCCGAATTAGGAGAATTATCTGAAAGACTACAACCTGATGTGATTGCTATCACTGAGACACGGTTGTTAGTGGGTGTAGACTCAACTCCACTCATATCTGGGTACATCTGCATTCGAGCAGACAGAGTAAGTAGTCAGAGAGGTGGGGGTCGCTCTGTACATTCGGGATGACATAGGGATTAGGTCAACGTTGTCAGAAGCTCATGACAGCGGCACCAGTGAAGCCGCAAGTTGCGTTATTAACTTGAACAAAGGCACTTTAACGATCGGAGTTATTTACGGAAGTCCTGCTAGCCAAGCTGATGACTTCGTTCTAAATCACTTGAGGGCGTGGGGTAGTAGAAATAGGTGTCTGGTTGTTGGCGACTTTAATGCTCTACATATTAATTGGGGGGAATTAAAATCCACTAGTTTGTATACCTGTTTCAATGGAGATCTCACACTGACAGTGCTTGAATGTGCACTCGTGCAACATATGCATGCACCAACACGGTATCACCCGGAACATGATCCGTCTACTCTAGACTTGGTATTAACACACCAGAAGGAGGATGTAGGTAACATTAGGAGCCTTCCGCCGCTTGGCAGCAGTGACTACATAGTCATCGCTTCTACGTTAAGATTCATTCTCATACACAGATCAAATTCTGCTAGTCCAAACATTTGGAAAGTGGATATACAGGGAATCCGGAACGCAGTTGACTGGTCAGTTGATACAAGTAGGACTGTCGAGGAAGCTTGGGTGGGATCTAGGAATACACTAGATTGTGCCACTTCACCTTTTATACCTAGGTACACTCCTTGAAAGCTATCGCGTAAGCCACGTTGGATTACCAGTGAAATAAGGAGGCTATTAAGACGGAGGAAGAACTTATGGGACCAATTTACTATGACAGGAAGGGAAAATTTCCAGAAAGACTACCGCAAAATTTGAAATCTCTGTTAGTGTGTGATTAACAAGAGTCGTATAGAGTACGAGAGACGGCTAGTACTAGATTGTGTTCATTACCCAAAAAGGCTGTACTCGTATATTAAACGTAGAACTAAGTGGATGGAGCATTTTAATCTCCTCCCGCTATCATACCGAAGGAAGAGAGGCAACTTAATTTTAGCATACCGTATACTTAAGGGCGATTTACGAACTGACCTTTCTAAACTTTTCTCCCCCTCTAGGATACGATTACGGGGTCACCGCTTAAAGGTGCTCAAACCGAGGACGATTAAAATCCGTGCAGAATTTAGATTCTCTCACAGAGTGGTCAACGACTGGAACTTCTTACCTGATTTAGTAGTATCAACTCCATCGGTGAACGCTTTCAAAGAGAAGTTCGATCTCTGCAGAGATGTATTTCGCAAGGATCAACACAGGTCACGAGAGCCTTCTATCCTTATACTCTGAATCTGGTTTAATAATGCTTTGACAAAGCTATTAGCAGCATCAAATAGCGAAACGTCAGTAAACACAACAATATCGTTTTGTTTTTCATTCATTAAGAAATACGAGAAAAGCTTTATTATGATGAATATCATTGACGAATGCCCAAATTTTTCCACACTGTCAAAAGTGAACTTGGTTCGGACAAATATAACTGTGAGACTTTATCAAAATAAATTTTACCCATAATGGAATTATATTCTACCACAGTGCACATGTTTTATTGTTATATCAACCTCCATATTCCACTACTAATCCAAGGTGGTCTGTGCGATAGCCTTCGAGGCGTAGACCGAGATACAACAGGTGAAGTGACGCAATCCAGTGTATTCCTAAATCCAATCCAAGCTTCCTCGACAGTCCTATTTGTGTATCAACTGACCAGTCAAATAGGATTTCTGCGTTTCGAATTACCTGCACATTTAGTTTCCTTTCAAATGTTTGGAAGAGCATATGTTGACCTATGTATGAATCTTAGAAGAGTGATGACCACGTGGTCACTAATGCTGCCAAGCGGCGGGAGGCACCTTATGTCACCTACATCCTCCTTCTGGTGTGTTAGTACTAAGTTGAGAGTAGACGGATCACATTCAGGGTGGTATCGTGTTGGTGTGTGTATATGCCGTACAAGTGCACATTCAAACACTGTCAGTGTAATTTCCTTGTTGAAGCAGGTATTCAAGCTAGTTGATGTTAATTCCTCCCAATTGATATGTTGGGGCATTAAATTCACCTACCATAAGACATCTATTTCTGCTACTCTAGGCGGTCAGGCGATATAGTTTGAAGTCATCAGGTCGGTTGGCGGGAATTGTATACATAACCCCAGTCGCTACAGTGCTCTTGTTCAAGTTGGTGACACAATTTGTGTCTTCACTACTGCCGGTGTTGTGCGCTTCTGAGAACGTCGACCTAATTCCTATGTCATCGCGGATGTACATGGCAATTCCAACAACTTTCCGACATTACTGCATCTGCTCCAGTACAGATATATCCAAGTGTGAGTGGATTTCAATCTACTCTCAGTAGCAACGATGCGTCAGTGATAGCCACAGCATCAGGTTGTAATCTCTCAGATAATACTCTTAATTCATGGAGCTTATTCCTATGACCACACGCGTATAGCACTATATTGGAATACCTAACGTGTTCATTCTACCTTTCGAGACCTCACCACTTGAAAACCGCATAGTTTAACGTCGTTCCCGCTTTTTGCAATCGTGCCTTTAATTGAGCCACGACTTCCCTTTTCATGATTCGTCCTGCCAATGGTCAACCAGGTCTTCTTCTCAACATTTTATCCTCGATCTTAGATACGTCGTTGAGAATAGTGCTCTTCTCCGTCTCGTCAGGATCTTTCTGTAGCAGTTGCATTCTGATGACTTCTTCTAAATGAACTACATTTGTGTTTTCGGGAATTGTTTCATGATTAGTGGAGTAGTAACTGCCTCGTGATTGTGGACATGGTAACTAGCTGGATTTTTTTGCTTTGATTCATCCAGTTTGCAAATAATGACACCATAAGTAAAGTCCGAATGTTTTGAAATAGTAGTACTATTAATGGCAGTAGAAACGTTTTTACTAGACCTCGTAGTTGTCTTACCTAAACTCTTTTAGCTTCTTAGCTTTGGGCACTAACGACAAGGGGTTAGTTTCTTTCGCTTTACTCTCATCACAACTAGAAGTTACTTGTTCAATGGACACGCTCTGCATGGTCTTGGTAGTTTCACCAGCTGGTTTATCTGAAGAGGTATATATCGCAGAAATTAATACAGGCCACCAGAGCCTGCTGGCATAACTATCCCGATCTGAGTGATGACACATACCAGTGTGTGCACTTATTTAGAGTAATGGTATTCAATGTATGGCCAATGTACTGGCTTTTGCGTGCCCGATCCTCGTGGTAGTTCTGTTTTTTACGTTGATGGGATGCATTCCCTTCCTGGACCAAAGTTAGAGATTATTCATATGTACCTAGGATATGTGGGTTAAAACGAGGGCAGTTTCCCACTCAAAACTCGGCAAAGTGGGCTGTTTTCGGTTGTATCAAGGGTAAAATGTGAAAAAAATGGACGATAAAATTTTCAGGACATGGGAGAACGGGAGGAAAGTGGTCAATGTGGGAAAAGCGGGTTAGTAATGTAGCATTTTAACCCCCCCCCCTTTTGTCCAAGTCTTCACCGATCAAAATTACTCGTTTAGCCCACATTGCCCAAGTGCATTCTCTGACTGGGATTGTATTAGTACAGGACTACATATTCGTGTAACACGTGTCCCAGTCATTTCAGTTGCTGAGACATTCAAATCTCACCGATATGATCTTCCGTTCAATCTCACGCCATACACATTACCTCCCTATCACACTTTGTTTTTCTACAGATGCAAAAACTAACCTGACCTTGAAATGCACGCGTTATTTTGAAATCCCTCCATTTTTGGTTAGTCCTCTATCTAACAATATAGTGAAATGAAAGGTAATGAGATTCTTTGTTTATGCCTGCATTGAATGCATATCTAAAAATGCCTAATTGTTTCAGACATGTTAATGGTAGAGGCTGGTATTTTAGCATGTGGGCGTCGGTCTTACAGAAGGTCCTTTATTCTAAGTGAGTATGTTCGAAAGTTAAGGGGATGTAAGTGACACTTATTCCTTCCTCCTCTGCTAAACTCAGAAGTGGGTATGGGTCAAGACTTGGTATCTTCAATGAGTAATAATAAGTTGATTATCAAGAATATAAGTGAACCAGCATGTATTATGTCGTTTCTACAAGTCATGTTTTAAAATTAGTTTCTGTGTGCACAACTTTGTTCTGATCAGTGAGGAACTCAGTCTACATTTCTTAAGTTAAACGTTGATATATGTATTCTAAGGTATTTTTGGTAAAACTTCTGTTGCCGAGTTTTCATTGTTGTTTTTGGTACGCAGCAGTCATCTAACTTCCCACAATAATTTCTCCTTCCAAGGAAAACAGTCTCTTCGCTGAATCACTTGTTTTGATTTTCTATTCATTTTTTCTCCAGTACACATCATTTTGTTCAATATTTTTTATTCATTTTGATGCCACCTTCACCAAACATAGAAATTGACTTTAAAGAATCTGCTTCTGCGGAGGTGGATTCTTCAACAACCACTAAAGTCAGGTTACACAAATTTGATCGACATGACACGCAACTATGGTTCGCCCAACTAGAGCACTCCTTTGATCTTTATGGTGTTGAATCCGAAACCACCAGGTATAGGGACTTGAGTTCTTGGTTGCCTTATGAGTTTAGCAAGGAAGTGTGGGACCTTATGCTTAACCCCCCGCAACGAGCAGCCATATTCAATGCTTAAGTGAGAGATGATAAAGCGCCCATCCTAATCAGAAAACCACAGTATACAACGGTTGCTTCACAGAGAAACATGAAAGATAGATATCCATCATAGCTCTTACTCCACCTGCAGCAGCTTGTACGGGACAGCAAGGTGGGAGATGCTTCATTAGGGCGAGACCGGATGCAAGCTCTATTGGAGTATGTGTAGCAGTCACTGACGCACAAGATCCTGATTCCTTTCCTCTCAAAAAGTGGCACGCACTGCTGATCGAATGCTGAAGAGGAGACTACTTACAAAAGGGCATGTGAGACATATGAGTATGAGCTAAGACCCAATAATCCCAGAACTAGTGGCAAACTTTGGATCACTAACCGAACAGCTAACACAAATACAACTAAGGCCAATACTGTTGGTACCACCACAGGTTCGGCACACATTAAGCGTAATGCACAAAACCACGCTCCTAGTCTTATTATTATTGCTTCCTTCCTTCACTTGATAGTTTCCTCAGAGTATGGCCAATCCATCTCCATTTCTTCCTGCCTATTTGATTCACAATTGGTTCCTGGTTAGTTCGCTCCCAGAGATCTCTGTTGCTGATCTTTTCTGTCCATCTGATCTTGAGTATTGAGCGAAGACAACTGTTAATGAAGGTCTGTAGTTTGTTTGAGATGATACGCTCCAGCGGTACATGTGCTAAAATTGGAACGATACAGAGAAGATTAGCATGGCCCCTGCGCAAGGATGACACGCAAAATCGGGAAGCGTTCCATATTTCTTCTCGACCGATAGCTGCTACTTTGACGTGGTGGTCTAGCTTGCATATCGCAATGACCCAACGAGCTACACTGGCTGGAACTTATACTCCTCTAGGTCCTACCATGCCAGAAAGGTTGTTTAGATAGCTGTTAGAAAAAAAGCAGCTACCCAATCCAATAATATGATTCAAACAAACTCACAAAATATCATGCCGGATCGCTTGGGGCCCGGATTAACAACGACCACGCTTCCTGCTGCCGTGTCACAGGGCAGAAGTGATAAATGTGCTACTGAGACTCACCACACAAGAAAGAAAAACAAAACCAGGCCATGTGTGACCGGCCTCAAGCAGTTGTCCCCTGGGCTCTGCGGTCATGCAACACTAACCTTTTCTCTCTCCTCTTCTCAGGCGTGAGGCTAGCAACCCCACCCTGTAAACAAAGCTGCTACACAAACTTCAGCGCGATGAATCTCCTTGCGCCAAGGGAAAAAGTTAGTGTGGGGACATGGAATGTCCGCACCATGTACGAGATTGGCAAAGCTGCCCAGATCGCACCTGGTCTTAACTACCCTAAAAGCAACGGGGAAGCGATTAGCCCCTTTTCAGGTAGCGACTACTGAGAAGAGGCGCCCGGACAGTTACCAGTTCTACGTCAAGGATGAAAACGCTGGCACAGTCTTCGTAGTACCACACCAAAACCAAAGGCAGAGTTGAGACGACAAAAGTCCCCTGTCGCGCCACGAGAGACCACCAGTAAAACCCAAATCGCAAAATGACACTGACGCTTGAACTCAGGTTTAAGCGACATTTGCCATGTCTGTTCACTGTTGCTGATTTAGACCGGGCAGTAACTGGTATCGACTTCATGGACAGGTATGAATCACTAGCAGACACTCGAAAGAGACAGAGGTACTTCACGTTAGAATTACTCGGAGCCGAAAATGGTACGAACTACTCCACTAGGTGTGATACCCTAGGACTAGAAACACTATGGCTAAGACGCCTGAGACTAAACTTGACACTTTACTATAAGCTTCTAAACCACTTAGTTTTTACCTCTACTAATGGCACTCGACTTTCAGATGACAATGGTTACAAACTAAGACACACTAAGGGTACAGTAGCTATCGAACAATGTAAAACAGCCACCAGGCAAAAGTTTTACTTGATTAGGTATGCACAGATATGGAATAAACTGCCAATGGAAATGCGTCAAGCATGTACATTGGCCTCCTTCAAAAAGGTGCTTAATGACAAACTACAAGAGTTTGCAAACGATAGTAGTTCTAGTTCCTATCTGAGAGCCTCCGAAATTATAGGTCCATTTAATGTATAAGCTTAAATACTACGCCTGTTGTTTTTTGCCTATATTTATAATTCTAGATAAAACATTAACGGTTAAGATACGTATCCTCAAACAGACAAGAAATCTCGTTTGTAAAACTACTACCCAACACAATAAGTGGAATAAAATGGACATAAACCGACAACATGAAAAAGGTATAACTCACCACAATATCACATGGACAGATGTACGCTCGTTGGGCACCATATTTCCCTCACCAACTGCAACCCACTTTTCCTTAGATAATGTGATGAACCTATATCCATAATGTTGCTGAGCAGTTAATATTCTCAACTGCTGTCGGAACAGCTGAAATTCATAAACCTTCCTCACGCTAAGAAAATACCCATAAGCAGTAGAAATCCATTAATTAATGCGTCTGTATTTTTTTAAATAATAATGTATTTCATATAAATTTACAAATTTACATGAAAATGCATGCCATTTTTACAGGCACGATCAAGTATGATAAAATATCAAATCGTAGATTGTCTACAAGTTAATCGTATTTCAACTGTTAAATATTCGATACATATAATACACTCATTTTCTGAATTAGGCCGTATAGATATTGAATTGTACAGTTGTCCTCCAGGTTGAGCGGGAAAATCGACTTCGTTCCGTTTTCATCCCGTGGTTGTAGGCATACGATAACCAACGAATATTGAGGTAAGTACACCTTTTACAAGGGAGTGGAATCTGTTTTAGAAAAATTAAAGTGCTGAGGTGAATCATTAAATTGTAATGAAATAGGTAAGTGCAAGTATCATTAATAAATGCATTAATAAAGGAAACACCCTAGGGTAACAACATTCATTTGCAATGTATAATGCTACAGATATATCACAAACTATCATGATATCCACTTTTGGATTTAATACAATTATCCTAATGCCAGTTGTTTTTATTTTATACCTTTTTGTGCATTTAGTGCACAACCGTACCCTTCAGAGAGTAGGAGTATAATAAGTAATGAAGAGCTATAAGATGTTAAGTTTAATGGAGTAAAATGAGGATCAAGTAAAGACGTTGTCAGAAAATAAATGAGATAAGACATTGTGGAGTGGTATGAAAAGATCTGACGATAGACAGCAAGTTAATTTATAAGATGCCCCATAAATCTGAGCAGATCCCATATGGTCGCATCTCAACAATAGGCTGGGTGAATGGTATATATTTAAAGGTAGAAGCATGATCTGTCAAGGCGTTCATTGTTATCTTTTTCAAGATAAAGATTTAAGCCCTCATAAAAATCAGAAATATCTCGAGCCTTCAATGACATTGCAGATCAAATGAGATAAACATATCACTGATTTCAAAATAACACATCAATGAACTATAATTCGAGGACTCTGCACACAACAAAGTTATGTACGAATATTTACTTCAAGCTGTATTTTTTTCCCAGGCACTTATAATCCATCCACCAAAGACCTGGCTTTTTGTTAATGCGAAGACAATACTTCTGTATTTCTTGATGTGTTGCACTCACTGACGATCTAGCAGATTTTTCCAACTTTGCACAGAAATGATTGTATACAAGTGAAAAAGCTGTTTTATACTACTGGGATTAACATTTATCAAGTGTATGTATAATCTCCAGCGAACATGTAAGGCATATCTTGCTACTGCCTGTAAATTGTGATTGAATTATATGGTTCTATTTCTGTAACAATTTGACGATGCCTGTAAACTGGCGTCCCTCATGTACTGTACTATGAGAATAAATTTATATATTTATTAGTCTTCGGGATGCCAATGACTTACTTCGCACCTATCATGATGTTCCGGTGGCTGAGAAAGATATGCCTAAAACAGGCATTACCAGTCCATTCGGATTATATGAGTTCGTGAGAATGGCACTTAATCACCAGCATACTGCACAAACTGCACATCCTGGCATCTACACTAGTGTGTCGGTGGCATGGCGGTAGAGTGCTCACCGACCACGCAGGTGGTCCGGGGTTCGATCCTCGGTCGAAGCACTCCTTTACCTCGCTAAGCCAG